AATAGTATGCCTTATTTTCTTCTGACTCAATAATCAAGCGATATGGACCTTCATCAAAATAGATAGTTGTTGGTGAGAATGTGTAATCCCCCAGTGGTACATCCTCTCCATTGTAAAGCTGATCATCAGTAACCAAGTGACTCACATCTATTCCAAACCTGATCTTGTAATAGTCAAGTGCATTTCTTCCTAAGGAATAAAGAACATTAATATTTGTATATTTTTTATTGGACACTTTTTGAAGAGAGAGAGAGAGAATGAGAGAGAGAGTGAATACGTTTTGAATCAGAAAAAGTACCTTCTTGTATAATCTTGCTCCTATTTGTCCTTCCTGCCAACTTATGAAACTCAATGTATGTATCAGGCCATGGTTGTCTCTTGAAGCCAGGTTCTTTGAACTCCCCAACAGATACAAATACTCTGTCATACTTCTCAACATGTGCTTGACTATTCACAATACACTTTTTATTGTATCCTATCCTTCCATGACTTGTTGGCATAATGAACTGCTCAGAACCAGAACAAGTAACTCGATGTACCTGAGAAAAATTATTAATATATTTGATCTATGGAAAACAGATATTCTGTGTGCTGATTGGGTTTTTCATGGCAATCAATTTTGGAGAAAAGAAAAGAAAGAAAACATTTAAGAGTTCACCAGTCATAAGGAAATTAACCCCCATTATTCCAAATCACGATCCAACGTGAAAAGAAACTGTGTCTAACCCCATCCCCCTTCATTCAAGTACCGATATCACAATCCGAGATGATAACACCAAAGTACATTTCATTCATACTGAAGTCATAACAAAACATGTTGAAGAATACATTTAAAATTGATAGTCATTACTCAAAACATCAAAAATAGTTGTAGACACTAGTATTCATACAAGATGGAACATTCGTTTTCTTATGACTGGTCAGCACATAGAGTTCGTTTTTCTTGCTAGGTTTTGCTCCTTTCCCTTTGGCACTTGTGCTTAGATATTTATATGTAATTAGTATTCAGAGTATCAATTTCTACTTTTTCTTCAGCATGTATTTTTCTTCAACGTGTAAAATTGTTCTAATTGTTATGACTTCAGTATGAATGAAATGGCTCTTTGTTTTCTAATCTTGAATTTTGATATTGGTTCTTGAATGGCGGGGAAAGGGGGTATTAGGCATTGTTTCTCTTCACGTTAGATCATGGTTTTTGGGATATATTGGGTTTATTCTTCTTATAACTGGACTCAAAGTTTGCTTTTTTCTCATTAGTTTCCAACGGCGCTTTGATGGCGCTTTAAAGCGGCGTGCAAAGCCAAAGATTTTCTCTCTCTTTTTCCGTAAATGAGAGTCACTGATCTACCGATGGACAAGCATCATGGATCTTTTCACAGTATGTTATATACTAATGCATCTACAACCTAAGAGTACGCCATATGTCAGAAAGAAAACAAATCCAAACTTACCAATACCATGATCTAACATGAAAAGAAACAGTGTCTAATCCCTTCCCCCAACATTCACACTGGTTATCACATGATATTGTATGTCATGCGATGCATGAATCCCAGAATGGGGAACATGACAGGTGAAATAATATTCTCTTAGACACAATGTGTTCTTCATCATATCAATTTCTTAAATGTTTATATCAGTGAATCTTCAGTTGTATCATGTCATTGTTTATATAATTGGGGCAGGTAAGGGTATTACAAATGAGATCACTTAAAAATAAATAAAATTATCTTACCCTATTTTGCACATACTCCTACTGACTCTTAAGCATCGGTTATCAAAGCTTCTGGATAACATAAATATAAAGTTAAACTATTAACGCTTCTTTGCTTACTTAACTATGAATGATAGATTATTGAGAGATATACGTCAGCTGAAACAGACTGGATGGTTAAACCACATGTCATGTCATAAATTCAACTATATCTAAGACAAATTATACACAATCAAATCCGAATTTATTATAATAGCCATCTGGGATAACAAACATTTGAGACATAGAGATAATGTTCACAAATATCCAACTTGTTTTCCTTAAATACTCGTACTGTACGTTTTTATCTTCAGTTGTGTCGTTTCATTGTTATGTAATTGGGTATAAAATAAATTAACAGACTTTAGAAAAATATAAGAACCCTTTTACATACAATTAATTTTAGTGAACAAAATATTCTTACCCTATTTTGCACATACTCCTACCGGATGCTTCCTGTTTCTGACTCATTGATATTGAATAATAATGAATTGTAGGAAATATAAATATCAACTTACATATTTGACACGTTGGGCTCATTTAACTTTGTTGATTAAACAAATGAATAAATGATGGTGGATTCTGATCCAACCGAAGTTCAGGGATATCAACAAGCTAACTATCCATTCATCCAATCATCAATTTCAGTACTGGTTGAAATGTTTAGATTTTGAAGGCCTTTGCCTTACTTGCATAGTACAAATAATGGGATACCCTATGTATCACAAGTAACAACATAGGACATAAATAACACCCTCTGACAATGCCAAATACTTTAAAGTATATATTGCACTTAGCTTGATTTTAGGTTTATAGTCTTGTACCCTTCATTTGAGCTGAGTGTATGTACATTTATAATAAATGAAGATCAACTTCCAAGGCTGCACCCAAACTTCCAACTCTGAATTCCAATCAATCAATCATCTACCATGGTACTTTTGAATCCAAAGAGATTTGTATTTGGCATCATATTAATGATACTTGGATGTTTGAATTTTTTGATTTACTCTAAAATTAATGTACATGTGAGGGAACATAACAACATACACAGTGTTAATGGAAACACAATTAGTGACCTACCAACCAACCAACCAACCAACTTTGTTCAATTTCACCAGTTTAATTATTTTGTGGAATATACGGCCATACATTTTCACGGGGTACCATCGAATAATTTTGGCAACGTACCGGAGAACGACATTTTACTAAGAAATGGCAATAATTTAGCACAATATATTTTTTAACTAGAGTTCTATTTTGATTTTGACAAAAGTAAGTATTCCATGCAATAACTATTTCATTCATGAGTTTGTAGGAATTCTGTTGGAACCCAGTTCTGACCAAGTACGAAGTTATTGAAATCGGCGCAGACGGACTTTACTCCGAAAGATGGTTTTTCGATTATAACTCTTTACAACATTTAAGTATAGACTTTTGAAAAAAGTACAGAATAGTCCTTATTCTTTTGAATAATTCTGTTATTTCTGATTCACACGACTCTGATTTGTTTAATTTAAAAAAAAAGTTTTAAAAATATTACTTAGGAACGTAACCGGAGCTGGGAACGTAACCGGAGCAGATCAGTTGAATTATTTAATCAAAAAAATTAAAATATATGATTTAAAGCACATATACTAATTTAAAAACATACGGGATTGTTCGAATGCGTATTTAATAATATATATGCTTTAAATCATATATTTTATTTTTTTAAATTATATAATTCAACTGATCTGCTCCGGTTACGTTCCCAGCTCCGGTTACGTTCCTAAGTAATATTTTTAAAACTTTTTTTTTAATTAAACAAATCAGAGCCGATTTCAATAACTTCGTACTTGATCAGAACTGGGTTCCAACAGAATTCCTACAAACTCATGAATGAAATAGCCATTGCATGGAATACTTACTTTTGTCAAAATCAAAGTAGAACTCTAGTTAAAAAATATATTGTGCTAAATTATTGCCATTTCTTAGTAAAATGTCGTTCTCCGGTACGTTGCCAAAATTATTCGATGGTACCCCGTGATTTTATTTTACACATTTTATCTTCATAATCATAAATCAGATCAAAATATAATGTTAAATATATATTTTCTTCAAATACTAGGAGGATACAAAATCTGATTGCCAGTTCATAACAACCAATTGCAGTAATATGGTTATAACATGTGATAAAAACGAAGAGTCAGAAATGTAATGAATCATCGTTTAGCAATCCAAATACGCACAACTCAACCAGGTTATAATATATGACTGCTATATCTCTATCCTGTCTGTTAAATCGGTGTTTAATGAATAAAAACAATATACATGCCAGATGTTTGTTTCTTATTTAATTATGATCTTTGCAAAGATGATCAACCAGTGTTTAAGTGCACCTTTCCTTTGACAGATATAAGTGAATTCTTAGATTTTAGTTTTCCTAACAAAAATATAAACATGTCACATGATGCAGAGAATCATATCTGCAGAAAGCACTATAATGCAATGTATCGATTCATTAACAGAGACCCATCTTCGAAATGTTGTTTTTGCTCTTCATCTCTAGTTGTTCCCTCTATCAAGAAATATAATTGCCCACCTTTATATATTGTAAAAAGATACATGAATGAATCTTTATTGAATCCTAACTTTGATTTTGACTCAATAAAGCCTGAAAATAAACTTTGCAATATATGTTATCGTAATATTTCTTCCTGGGTTAAAGATACACTTAATGTTTCAAATCTAAATGTTTTAAATGATTCTCATTTTGAAGGTTTATTTAAAAAATATTCTGAACATTCATTTGAAGAAGGTAAAGTTCATTCATATCTGACGAGTCAATCCGTAACTTTTATTGCCAAACGCTTTTTAGATCAACTTTGTGTTCTTTTTGATGAAATTTTTGATCATTATCTTTCTGGTTTTGATAAACTTCCAAAATCATCCATAATAAGTTCCCCTGACAGGAGAAAAATCATGAAAAATTTAAAATCAATTTTTGGTGAAAGTATGAGGCAACATTCTATTGAAAAAAAGTATGGTGTCATATTTTATCGAAACGGTCTTATTTTAGAGAACTGCTTGCATGCATCCCTTGCAATCAGTTACAAAACCTTTCATACACATTCAGATACTGAGGAATATCCAAAGACTAAATATGTAACATCTGAAGTAATAAATAAGATGCTATCAGATGAATCATCAAAATTTATCAAACTCTTTGCCTCGGCCAAAATTGACCTCACTGATATACAGTTAGAAGATTTTGTGAGGGAAAATGTAAACAGTGATCTTTGGCACTTTTTGGAAGATTCAGTTTTTAAACAAGAAGCTTCTTCGAGACAAACTTTGCAACTTTTTGGTATTTTAAGTGCTATGTTATTTTGTCACAATTCTAACTGCAAATTCCCCCTCCCAATGATTCTTGCTGATGTCATAAGTAAGCACACTAATGACTCTACATTGTGCCATACTATTTTTAATACTTTTGGCATTATTCCCAGCAAAACAACTTTTTTGCGATACCGTAATGACATTGCTGAAAAAATACAGAACCAAGGCCCTAATCTTAGACAAGATTCATTCTTTTATATCTCGGTTGATAATGTTGGAAAAGATACTAAATATTCCAGGATTAAAGCTGATAACACTTCCAGAAGAGTTGAAAAGACATCTACTCAATTAGTTCATATCAAGCCTTTGTCAAATAAACTTTCACATGAAGAAAAAACAACTTTTTCTCAAACAGCGTTAGTTACCAAAACTGGCTTGTTTTTGAAAAGTTTTGATGTTCGCCAGGATTATTTGATGTTGTATAGAGCCATTACATCTATTTTGTTTTTTGATTTAATTCATTGTGAACGAAGCGTTTTGGGCAATCCATCAGTCATATATTTTTCTGGTTTAGAAACCAAGTTTGCAAAACTACTTTATGACAAGGTTCAGTCCACAATGTCAAACAATACTTCATATTTTGAGAAAATTGACCCAAATGTTCCATTTTTTAAAGAAATAGTGGCTGTTGTATTTCTCACAGGTTTCCCAATAGGCATTTTTTCCCAACTCAAGTCCGGAAATTTTGAGCAGATTCTTTTCTGTTCACCTGATATATATTCAGATAATATGAAAATACATATTCATTTTAAACATGGGGAAAATAGCGACAAAATTCAACCTCTTGTAGACTTTAATCGTTTTTATTCAACAAATTCATATATTAGACCTGAATGTATTTCAACCAATTTTCTTGAAGACATCATTGCAATCACAAAAGTGAATGACACAAATAGTCTAGATACAATTTTTGGCTCAAACCCATTTATAAACAGTCAAAATCAGCCCAGAAGAACTTCTATGAAAACCAAATCAACTGAAGCACTTGTTTCATCTGGATCTATATTTCAGTTTGAGAAACCAGATTTTATTCCCCCAGCCTTAGTCCTTGAGCAGTTTGCTCCATCAACAATTGAATTGGATGAATTTTCAAAATTGTCCCAATTATTTTTCTTCTATAATACTTCTCAGCTTGTATCTAGTGAAAATCAAAATCCTTCCATACATGATGTTTTGAAAGTGTTCCTTTCAAGGTTTTATCCAAAATTAACAGAAAAGTCAAAAGTGATTTACCTATCTATCATTGACAAACATGCAGATAAACCAGAAACCATAAAGTTTATTCTTGATCTTTACCATGATGTTCTCCAGATAGGCCAAAGAATGAAATATTTAGTTGTGGTAGGTGATGGGAAAACTTATGATCATATTTTGAGATTAAAGAAAGTGTATGGATCAGAACTTGATTATGTAATGCCTTGGCCAGGTGATTGGCACATTCTTAAAAACTTTGGTTCTTGCTTGATGAAAATTTATTCATCAGCTGGACTCTCTAATTTAGTTCATATATTTCACAAGGGTAAAAATGCAGTTGCTGTTACTCAAGCTCTGTGTTTTGCACAAACTAATTCTTTCCTTCTTCAATCTTGGGAGGCATTCTATCGGATGGAGTTAATTTGCTTTTTTAAACACAGAATGGAAAATTTTCAAAATTCATGTTCTTTACCTAACTTTGACATATTTGAAGCTGTGTCAAAATTAACATCCCTGCCAGATTTTGAAATAAACTCATTTTATGACCTTACAAAAAAACTCAGTGGTCTTGAAGAAGATTTTAAAATATTTTGTAATTCAATGTGAAACCTGGAAATTCTGGCATAACTTTATTCATGTTGACTGTTTTGCATATGTTGGATTTTATATAGCTATGCGAAGTAGTAATTTCTCTCTTAGAAATTATTGTCTTAAACAGATGGCACCTTTGTTTCATGTCACAAACTCTACATTTTACTATAAACTTATTCCTCAACACTTGGCAGATTTACAAATATTTCCACCATTCATAATAGATCATTTCAAGCAGAGCTGCTCAATGAATATATCTGGATCATATTTCAATTGTCTTGCATTTGATGAAGCACATGAGTGTTGTATTAATAAAGATTCAAAAAATGCCCTTACAACATCTGATATAAGTGTATCACAATTTGTTAATTACATTCCTCATCGATCACTTTTACTTACCAATCTCTATAACCAACTCCCAAAAACAATTGAAAAGAAAAATTTATATGATGAGTCTTCAAATTATTTTAAACTGACACATGATCAAAATCTTAAGGCATTGTGTTTGAAAATCCAAGAATCTAGACTCTTTGAAATTGACAATCTTTTTTCACTTCAGCACATTTTTTCAAAAATAATTGCTACACCAGAACAGAGAGACTGGCTTTTATCATTCAGGAAAGATGGTAGTGACTTACTTTTGGCCTTTATTAAATGTTGTATCATGAATGACTCCCAGACAAAGTATGTACGCAGAAACAAATCTAAAATGATTAATTTTGATTCTAAAAATTGCAAACCTAGTGCCAGTTCATTTAAAGACTTACTGAAAGACCAAACACGCATATCATTTTGTTTGCAGCGCCAATTAACACATGCAAAATATACAGGCAAGCCTATTGAAAAAATTAAGATGCCTTTCAAATATCCTTTAAGTATTTCTGTTGTTCAGCGTGATAGTAGTGGTAAGATAACTGATGTTTTGCCATTTCACAATTCAAAAGCTAATACTACATCATTTTTCGAAAATAGATATAAGGACTCCTTGGACAGTATATTATATTATTCAAATTTTCCAGAAAACTTTGTACCAGAGGCATACATTATTGATGCAATGTCATTTATATATCAGATCAGGCCTTACAGAGAAATTCATACTGATTTCTTAGGATATGTAAGATATATTTACTATAAAAAATTGAAATTCCTTCTCGACTTGAACTGCTGTATTCACTTTGTTTTTGATATTCAGAATTGTCTTTTTAAAACTCCTAAATCTGTTGAAAGGGAAAGACGAGACAATGTTGTTTTTGATTCTTTTACTATTTCATCTATTCAAGACAGTGACATAATTCCAAGCAATTGGCAGGAATTTCTAAGTAATCGCCAAAATAAGAAAATATTTGTACACTACTTTAGTGACACTATCCTTAAAGTTCACCAACTTTCAAACAGCTCTGTTCCTCTCTTTGTTTCTGGAGGATTTGCAGATGGTGAGCTATGTAAGGTTTGTGTATCAAACTCTATATCTTTATCTCCCCTGTATCAATCAAATAGTATGGAGGGAGATTTCAGAATTTGGCTTCATGCTCATCTTGTATCAAAAAGTAACATTCTTATCTTTTCGAAAGATACTGATTCTTATATGATAGGCCTTCCTCTTGATTTTGACAATAAAAGAGTCCTTATAAATATTGGGGGTAAAACCTCAAATGAGACATATATTAGTATTTCAAACCTACGCAAAAATATTCTGACTGATGTCAATTTGCATTCTTTGAACAAACAAATTTTACCTAAAGTATTTCAAAGTATTTTTATAGCCACTGGTTGTGATTATGTGAGCTCTTTTAAAAAAATCTCCAAAACTAAGGTATTTTCAATATTTTATCAATATGCTACATTTATCATTAGCTCATCTGAATATCTAGGCTCTTTACACCAAACTGGGGTTGATGACTACAACTTGGGTTTCTTGTCCTTCATTAGATTAGTTGGTTGTCTATTTTTTACTCGATGTAATGTAGCATTTCACGATTTAGGAGTTAAAGACAAAAATCCCACTTCTTTATTCAAATATTTTGCAGAGGAACATTTTCATTCACTTGATCAATCAATATCAATACATAGAGCATGGCTTAGTTCAATAAGAGAAAAGATTTCGGAGAGGGAAACAATAGGGGATAATTTATTGCCATCGTTTGAAGCCCTGTTACTCCATTGGAAAAGGGCTTGCTGGGTTTCTCAAATTTGGAGTCAAAGTATTCAAAACACCATGCATATTAATCCAATAGAAAACTGGGGATGGGAAATAAATGATAGTGGGAAGATTTCTTTTACTTGGGATTCAAAAGAAAATATGAATAAAGCAATTTCTGAAGAATTGTATTTAACTAAGGGGTGTGGCTGTAAAAAGGATCCTATGTGTTCTCGAAATTGTGGGTGCAAGACAAATTTTCCTGATGGGTGTGGTCCTGCATGTCTTTGTCAGGGTAACTGTTTCAATCCTTTAAATATAAATAATGTTGATATTGATAATAACACAGATGATGAAGATAATTCAGACTCTGACTCAGATAGTGATGATAATGATGACGATGAAGTAAAATTACCTTGAATTCTCTCATTTCTCCCTCTGGAGTGTTTTTTAAACCTGAAATATGACAGTATGCATTTTCCAACAATGTGTGTAATTGCCTCTATATTTCCATGGGACATACAGCTTGAAATCTCTTATTTTTCCCTCTGGATTGCTTGAAAGTGCTTTAATTATGGCATAGGGAAACTTTTTAAACCTGAAATATGACAGAGTATACATTTTCTATCAATGTGTGTAATTGCCTCTATATTTTCTTGAAACTCACTACTAATGTTCTACTTGGGCTACTACTTTTTGATTATGAATGAACATTTTTTTTAAAATTCTTACTACATTGTACTAAGTCATTCTTTTGCAGTCCCATGATTCTCTGTACCTAATGTGCTCTTCATCCACCTTGTTTCTTTAAAGGGATATTTCATTGCTAGTCCATTTCTTTCTTAATATGTTAGTTTTTTACATATACATGTACATATTAATGTACTTTTCATATTTTGCAAAGCATGGGAATTGTGTTGATATGGTCAATATTGATAATTTGATAATGTAGTGCTCATGTCGAATTGGCTCACTGTCATCTTTAAATATATACTTTCAGGTAGTGATGTCATCACTTTTTAATTTGCGAATAGTATTTGTCAAAATCACATGTTTTGCTTAATCTCGAAAATATACTGTATATACTCATAGCTACCATATTAGGAAAGAAATGGTCTGACAAGGAATACTTGTATTCCTTTCATCAAATTTTCACTAATTGATCTCCAAAACTATTATCAGATATATTGTTCACCTGACTGATCAATAAAACATGCACATAGGTCACACCGTCACACTGTCACACTTTAATCATAATGACTTATGCAATACTTCAGTGAAGACTTTCTCAGTCTGATTGTTAATGAACTTTCCACACTGAGTCTTCTCTTAATTTAATCACTGAAAAATTGGTGAACTAAAATCCTGAGTCTCTATCTCTAATTTCAAGCCTCACCTTTGTGCCTTTGCTGATTTGTGATGATTGGATATTATTGCATTTACATGTATTGTATAAACCTATTTTGTTGTTGTGTAAGATGCTTATGTCCTCACATCAACTTGTAGGTTTTGCCATCTTTTACTTAAATATGCCCTCTCATTAATATACTAAACCTATTATGTTGTTGTGTAAGATGCTTATGTCCTCACATCAACTTGTAGGTTTTGTTTGCCTTTGTCTTTTTTATTTCGAAGTTCTTATGTGCCTTGACTTTGCAGGCTTGAAATAGGATAGTTTCTAAATAGCAGAAAAATCAATGAATCTCAAGTGCTGCCATCTTTTATTCAGCTTTTAATTTGGGCTAGAGCTCCATTCACTTACATGCTAAAATATTGGAAAAGTGGCTTAATTTCATGATTTATCAAAGTGTGTTAGTTGAATCTGTATAAAACTTGAATGATATGCAACATAATGACCCTGTTTATATACATGTTGTGATTAAACATGCAAATGTTGATTGACATACAAATATTCCAAGGTTTTAAAGAATTTTAGTATTGCATCTATGGATATTTATATTAATTTTAAATTGTCATAGAAAATTATTCAAACTACATATCTGTGTAAATCAAAGCTATTACAGGAGAAAACATTGCACTGAATTCAAATATACCATTTAAAAGCAGGTAATGTAAGTCATTAGAGGTCTAATATGCAAGTCTCTTAAAATCCCAAGAAAAACGAGATTTAGAAGATTTCAAAAGCTATATGGAACTGAATCTTGACTATACAGTTTACATTGAAATGATTCAGTCGACTTATATTTGTTCAGTGGCTTGACTCTGTGTCTTTTCTGGACCCCTGGAGTCTTGACCTTAACTTACTTCTTCAACTTGAATGGGGAATGAGTTCTAACTGAAAACATGTCAATTGCCTTTTGCTTTTCTTAAATATTATATTGAGACATATAGTTTGGAATCTCTCATTTCTAAATATGAATAAATAATTAAAACTGTATTCACAGTTCATTACATAGCCTTCTTGGCTTGTTTAATCTTCAAATTCTGTTAAACTTAATGATATTAATTTTATATATGCAAGTACTATGCACACACACAATACATTGTTTTTATTCATTTATTTTTTAATATCCTTAATGAGTCATGACAGTCCAGGAGCCAGTGTGTTTATAATCTAATGGGGGTAAGTTGAAAAACTTGAGATGATGAGAACAATATTTCTTGGTGTAGTTGTTCTACATACAATTAGAAAATATTTCTCTGATCATACCAAGCAAAACCTTTATACACATGTATATACACGTATCTTGGTACTAGGTAGCTCTTAAATAGATTATCAAATGTGTATTCAAAATAATATCCATCCCAGTATCATACTATGTCTTTGTAAATGCTGTTTGAATAATGCAATGTTTGCTTTGATTCCAGGTACCAGCAGCCTCTACAGATGGGAAGGCTTCCTGGAGATGGACTGCCTGAAGAGATCTCAATGCTTGCATCTGAGTGACTTTAGTGAAAAGTCTTGCTGAGATCTCATGACATGACTTTTTCTGTAATAGTTCCAGCCAGTAGCTATAAAGACTCTCATCTATGCTTGCACCTGAATGACTCTACAGACTAGTAAAGAGTTTTACCGAGATCTTTTGACACGGCATCTTCTGTAAGAGTTTTAGCCAGTAGCTGTATAGACTCATCTATGCTTGCACCTGAATGACTTGAGTGAAGAGTCACTGGGATTTCTTGACATGACATCTTCTGTGATAGTTGCAGTTTCAGTCTGTAGCTATTTGGACTATCATTTGTTCTAACTGCTGAAGGACTATATATTAAATTCAGCTTCACCTGGTATTGAGTTAATCTAATGATGTTATGAAAATGTAAAAAAACTGCTTTTCCCTGAGTCTCTCCAATATTTCATTCATTGGCTGTAGAATTTCTGAGTAGTCTTGTCCCAGTTGATATTTAAGTTGTACATTGTTGAAAAGTAAATAGGTTAATAGGCCCAAGTACAAAACCTGAGAATTTACATACATGACATATGTAAAAATTACAGAGTGTCAAAGTAAGTTATACTTGTGCATATCAGTGTGGCAAAGCAAAAAATTTGCATTTGAGATTGGGCATTGTTAGAGGCATAACAAACGGGTGTCCATCTTCTAGGCTATTAAGTCTATGCTATGATAAAAGTTAAATGCACAGATATGATTGAGTATCATGTCCATATATGGCATGATAATGTGCTGATAAAATGTAATCTATGTTGGCCTATTAGACTTATTTATCTTTGCAAGAATTTAAATATCTCTTGACATGCCCCTAAAAGGAGTTTTCATGAATCAAATATTAACAAATGCAGTGTTTTTCATTTTTATATATATATACAGATTTGACTTGTTAAACCATGGAAAAGCAAAACGTATCTATTGTCATATACAGAGGTGTAACTCCCATTGGTTTAAGGATTTCAGCCCTGGAGTGAAATGACCATTCTTTGAAGGTATTGATTTCCAAAATTTGCATGAAGTGCGGAGCATTAAGAGTGTTAATTTGAGGAAATAACGTCTAAAAGGAATGGTTATTCCATAATGCATTGAGTCTTGGGCTTACATTCTTTTTAGCCATTGCAAAATATTTTCTTCTACTAGTATGTCACTTAAAATATATAAAATCTAAAATTAGTCATGAACCTGTTTTGCTTGGCTGGAATTTCAAATATTGTGTTTTGCTAGATGAAATATTGTTCAGCTCCTTATGGAATGTATAAATGATCTTTTGGAACACATACTGTTTTAAAAAATCTATGACTATTTTCTAGCTACAGTACATGTGAGCCTGTCTATGTTTCAGGAAAATCTGAATTATAAAAGTAGAAAATTATTGAGCTGGAAGAATGATAGTGTTGTACTAAACATATCATTTAAAGAATGGACATAGATTATATTAAATAAACATTTTCTCATCACAGAATTATCTATATTAAATAAATTGTTACAATTTCCATTAACCAGTTTTTAATTTAAAAGTACTGTTTACACTGGATTTTGGAAAATATCATATTCCTTTTTACACATTGATTGGGCAATCTCCATGATTATACATATCATTATGATATTCCCATCCATTGGCTTTCACCATAGGCCTAATAAAAACTATACTGCAATATTTTGTGATTCTTGTGATTCTTATAATGGAAGTATAAAAAATAAATCTAATGATATGACTAACATTCTTCATTTATGTTATTTCAATAGTCAGTTTAGCCTAATTGTCGTTAATTGAACAACATTGAACCAAGTCCAAAAATGAGATCATTTAAGCATGGTTCCAAGTATAGGGGACAGTGGGCAAGGTCAGAAGTTCTGTAGGGATATAATGAAGCCCTCCGCCTGTCAGTCCGTCTATCTGTCCAGAAGATACTTTGTATACCACTGTATTTTAGAGAACAATTTTCTTGTTTCAATAAATATGGGATGATCATCGGACAGAAACTCCGACAAACTATTTTCACAAGTCGTTATATTGTTGCTCTTAGCGGCCCGTCTCGATCCGCTGTCCAGTCATGATTTGCTCCTGAAATCCCTATTCCGTTTCTCAGAATCAAGATACAAATACAGGGTGTCCCGAAAGTATGGGGCCCCCCCTAGGCAGACATATTCCAGTGTCCCAATAGTATGTGTCATATATCATTTTAAAGCTTATCCAAAGTTACATTGATTTGCCAAGTATCATGGTTTAACTCCCAAATGGGAAAAAGTAACAGTCATTTTAAAAGTTAGTGTTTTGTCAAAATAAAGTTCAATTTTACACCACATTACTAGCCAGTGTCCCCCCTTGGCCATGTTAACAGCAGCAATTATTTTCAGATATGACCTAAGAACCCCTTCAAATAGGGGTATGGAATTTTATAACCCTCTTAAAACCTGCTAAGGGACTTTAGAAGAGTTTCCTTAGAGTTTCTACCCTCACTGTTCTCTTTTTCCAACTCAATATCCATCCGACCCGAAAAGAATTGCTGCTGTTAAGATGCCTCTGGAGGACACATTGACTAGCGTTTTGGTGTAAAATTGAACTTAATTTTGACCAAACACTAAATTTTGAAATGCCTGTAATTTTTTCACATTTGAGAGTTGAACTATGATACTTAGCGAATCAATGTAACTTTGAATAAGCTTTAAAATGATATATGACACATACTATGACGACACTGGTATATGTCTGCCTAGGGGGGGCCCCATACTTTCGGGACACCCTGTATATCCCGGATAATGAAATTGTTTCGATCTTGAGCCATTCTTGGTAAATAAGGATTCATGCATTGTTTTCCGATAACTTCGAGCGTCTAATATTTCTCAAAAGCCAAATCACTTTTGGAAGATTTCAAATTTCATTATTTATAGCCCTATCTGTGCTCAGGTAAAGTTATGTAATTAAAACAAGAATCAGCAACTAACTCTTTGTTGATATATGAAACGCTTATATCGTGAGCAAGATATACCATTCTAATTATCTTTAGTAGAATTTGTACGCAAAGTACGCAAAGCACGCATTCGTTTTATAATATAGTCTGACTCTGCTCGTAGACTCACCGTTAAAAGACGGTCTACACCTTTATGCCGAAGTACAAAAGAAGGTGATTTTTGACCAATTATGTAGGAGCTACTATTTCAGGTAGTTAAGTTTTTGTTATGGAATATGAGATCGGACAGAAATGATGGGAATACACCTTCCGATATCCCCCGTTTTTACGTTCCAAAGGATTTAATTGTAATAGGCCTATTCGGTTTAATATTTTCCTTTTTTTCTCAGCCCGTTTCAAATATTCCCGTGTCGATGAATACTTTATTAATACTTTATTATGAGTAGCTTTCTATTTATATATCGATGAATAAAAACACCAAGTCATTATTACATACATGGACTTAGATTCCGTTGGCCATACGCATTAGCCTGTATACGCATTAAATTGTGTTATAAATCAGAAATATGACGTCTTTTTTCTGAAAATTGCCAGTAGGTTAAATTCCAACCGGCGACACGAAAACGAGACCTACAATCTTTTGACGGGCCATTTTTGAATTAGTTTATACCATTATTTGGAGTTTGGATCGCTCTCTATGAATATGAAATCAGAAATCGGGCATTCGAGAGGGAAGACATCTTCCGACATTCGTGAGTTGTTTACGTTTTTTGGTTAACTTTTACAAAAAGTTATGTTTACTCAACGTAAATTTTAACCACCCTTTTTTCATTTTCCTGTAACGATGAATACACTATTAAAATAACCCGTTGAGTAGCTGTCTATTGGTATATACATCGTAACAATACGTGATAACCACATCATTATTATAGTAACTTAGTCTCTGGTGGATGAACGCAAAATACGCATTTGTTATAAATCAGAAATATGACGTCTTTTTTATCTAAAATTAGCCCGTGAAATCCAGTCGACGGCACAAAACCGAGGTACAAATTTGTTTTGGCGGGCCATTTTTGAAGTATTATATACCATTTTTTAGAGCTTGAGCTGCTCTCTATGAATATTAAATCAGATATTGGGGATTCGAGAGGGAACACGTCTTCCGACATTCATGAGTTTTGTACGTTTTTTGGTTAACTTTTACAAAAAGTCATGTTTACTAACCATTGATTTATAGTACTTATATCTCGTATTCCCTTGACAAAAATCACAGCATTGAAAAAAGCTAGTAATAACCTTTCTTCTCATATATTTTCCATATATCTCTGGTAAAAAATGAAAAAGTTACATTAAGTTTAAAACAAGTGGTTGACTCGGGATGAATTTCGCGTCAAAAATCGGTGGACTGATCACCATAGATTACTACGCGATTTGGCACGAAAGAACAATTGAAATTACGTCGTGGAATTCCTGCTGATATGTATAGGTTTCTCTTTAATAAGTATCATATGAACAATTTAATATTAATTACATATTGCTGGAATTCATTTGTTACATTCAATGTATCCAATGAGCAATTGATTACTGTTCCTATTGTTTTGACAATTTTAATTAGTTGGAAATCGAGGATCATTGGTTGCTTTATTAATCATTTCTCACAAATGACAGTTGAAAAGAACCTGTTCCATAGTCAGCGTGTGTGAGAGTGAGCTTTCACAGGGTCAGAAAGGACATGGATTATAGTTAAACCATCCATTGAACAGCGCTTGAAGTAATCAAGTGCATTCGAATTCCTTTCTGATTCACTTTTTTCATGACACTACAACTTTTTTTTATTTCCCAACCTACTTGCAGTTGATATAGTGCCAGGGGTTCTAAGTAATAATATAATGTAACAAGTCCTTCAACTTGGATTATATTTGATCTAAAAGAGAAGTTCAATTGGTCCGCCACCCTATTTGATGATATATTTTAGTTTTAGTCGCCTTGCTGATATAGCAGTATCAATGAAATGTTAGCTTTTTTCAACCTGTCTTAGTAGACTAGATGCGAGTAGATATAATCTTGATTTACGTCATTAAATATTCAGAACATAGTCAAATTGATATCATATTTGAAATCTACAAGAAAAAAAATACATCTAGAAATATGGTTACGGAAATTGTTTATCAACTTTGAAAATTAAATGTTTTTCAAAATGTAATTTCTAGTTTGGGGAGATTCCCCATAGAGCCCCTGTTATAAAATCACAAAAAGTTAAATATTTTTTCTTTTATTGGACATATAACATTTTCTTTAACCGGACATATTTTAATTTGCATAACTATTAGATACAAAATGGTGATATGAAAATTGAACCGCTAAAACAGATGAATATTAAGTTAAAGCGAACTTTCTCCTATACCCACCAAGCTATCTGACCCGAACGAGCCACCTGGTGGTGAAACTGGTAACTACCTACTCGCATCTGAGTCATTGCCAGCTTTAGTTGAGCAATTTTCTAGATTGGGTGCCTTCATACAATCTCCTGGAGACCTTCCCATACCCTATACTCTGGGGTTTGCATCTGGGCTATTAGCGTGGCGATCATCAGGCCGTGGTCAGTTCAGGAACATTTTGCAAATTATGCTTATTTCTCATGGCACACCACATGTTTAAGTGAGACGATGCTGACATATTTTATTCAAGTAAAAGTGTATAATTCATGATCCATGGCATGGCAACCTCAAGCTTCATTTGGTATGCAAATAATGATTTTGAATCAAAAATTAAAAAAGTTATAGCATTTTGAAAAAAGCCGAAATCTGTTGCGATACTTTCCCTCCTCCTTTTAGAAAATAAGAACCATTTTCTATAAAAGTACTCTCAGCAAATAAAATCCTCTTACCCTAATTCTCACATACTCCTACTGAATGCTTCCTGTTTTTGACAATGAGTCGTTTGTATTGATTAGTGGGGAATGTTTAATTGTACAAAATATAGATATTAATTTGAATTATTCACACTTTGTGCCCATTTAATAATGATAGATTATTATCCAACCGAAGTTCATGGATATCAAGAAGTTATCTGTTCATTCATCCAACCATCAATTCATCATTCCCTCCATTTATTTGTTTGTTTGTTTGTTTGTTTTTTTCTGACGATTACTAACACTGGTTGACAGGATGTGTTCACATTTTGAAGGCCTTTGCGTTACTGGCAGAGGAGAAGTATGGGGATACTTTATGTATCACAAGTAACAATATAGGACATAAATAGCATCATCTGACAATGCCAAATACTTTTCCTAAGTCTTAGTTGCCTTTAACTCATTATTGGGTCGAGGTCTGGGACCCTTCATTTAGCACTGTGCAGAGTATACATGCAAATGTTAAATAAATGAAGATCAATTCCAAAAACCTACCTCAATGCTTTACCCATGGACTTTACCCAACATTCCACTGTGAATTTCAAATGATATATTCACCATGGTATTTTTTATTTGGCTTCATATTTATGATATTTGGATGTCTTTGAAATTTTCTATTTTTTCTAAATGTACATCTAAGGGAACATTAGACAAAGCATCTACTCCTCATGTCACTATAAGAAGTGAGTCTTAAACATCATGTCATAAATGCTACTTAATACCATTATAGTTACACATTACACTAATTTCGAATTGAGACATTAGGGAGTTTTAGCTTGCACATAAAATCGAAACACCAACATATACGTATGACCAATCGCGAATCGCCTATACAAATGCATCGCTTAAATATTTTCCGTTCACGTTTAGGTTGTAAAAAAGATTACACGCTTAAACTCCCTAATGAAACAATTTTTTACCATGTACACAAAGAGGTATAGTGTCACATGTTAATGTTTCTTATTTTCTAATAGATAGAATAATATATTACTGTAAACGTGCTAATGTTAGTCTAACATTAATAACATTAACATTTAATAGATGCTACTATTTGTGATTTTGTGGAAATCAGAAATTTACAGCTATTAACTTTTGAAGATGATAATCAAGATTAGATATCATTATAAATATCAAATGTTAATTTAAATACTAGGAAGACCAAAAATCATTAGCATGTATATTGATAATTCCGAATTCATAGCAACCAATTGCATAGTTATAACATGTGATAAAATACAAAATACACTCAGATCAGTGCATACATGTAATGAATGTAATCATAGTGCAGCAATCCAAATAAATACAACTCAGCCATGCTATAATATGATATGTAACTGCTATATTTTGAGTGTTTTATATTGCTGTTAATGAATTATATGTATAAACTGACTAATCAAACAAGACACATGTTCATATTATTAGTTCTTCTATAATATGTCTCTCATGAACGATTTAAATTTTATTTATATAACTGCTATATTTTGAGTGTTTTGTATTGGTGTTAACGAATTATGTATAAACTGATTTAATCAAACAATACACATGTTCTATATGTCTCTCATGAACGATTTATTTATATAACGCTGGGATTTATTAGTAACATTTAATTTATTTCATATCCATGATAAGCAGATATAATTACGACTAATTACTAATTGTTATGGTAATTCTAATTAGCCGGAAAACGAAGAACATTGGTTACTTTAGTAAGTCCATCATCATTTTTCACAAATGACAGTTGAAAGGAACCTGTTCCATATTTAGCATGTGTGACAATGCCACTCCCTCCATGAGCTCTCACAGGATCAGTACTTACAACATGAAGTACAGTTAATCCATCCATTGAACAACGCTCTGGTGTCTTAATTATGTATTCACCATACCCCAATATATCCCCAGGGTAAAGTGTTTTGTTAAAAGTACCTCCTTCTGTAAGTTCATTGTGTATTATCACAGAAAATGCAATTTCAGTTACCTCTGGTGGGTTTCTGTAATAGTGTGCCTTATTTTCCTTTGACTCAATAATCAAGCGATAGGGACCTTCTTTTAAATAGATAGTTGTTGGTGAGAATGTGTAATCCCCCAGTGGTACATCCTCTCCATTGTAAATCTGATCATCAGTTACCAAGTGACTTACATCTATTCCATATCTGATCTTGTAATAGTCAAGTGCATTTCTTCCTAAGGAATAAAGAACATTAATATTTGTATATCTGTTTATTGAACACCTTTTGAAGAGAGAGAGAGAGTGTACAGGGTGTCAAATACTTTTAAAGTCTTAGTTGCCTTTGACGCATTATTGGGTCGAGGTCTGGGACCATTCACTCAGCATTGTGCAGAGTATAATGTATAATAAATGACGATCAACTCCAAAAACCTACCTCAATGCTTTAATACCATTATAGTTAAGACACATTACACTAACACCCCAGTCACATTTGTCGTACGGAGGGCGTGCGTCGACCGCAGATCAATTAAATCAGTGTATTTCTGCGGCGAGCATTGAAAAACTACGCTCGCCTTGCAGCCTCAGTACGGCGTATCCAGATTTTTCAGAAGTACTCGAAGGCAAAGACCGCTTTTACAAACTGGCTTCTTACTTACTACAGAAGCCGGCTTCTGGAGTCACCAAGAAGCCGGCTTTTAAAAGCCGGCTTCTGAAGGACAACAGAAGCCGGCTTCTGGAGTCACCAAGAAGCCGGATTTTACAAACTGGCTTCTTACGTACTACAGAAGCCGGCTTCTACAGTCAACAAGAAGCCGGCTTTTAAAAACCGGCTTCTGAAGGACAACAGAAGCCGGCTTCTGGAGTCACCAAGAAGCCGGCTTTTAAAACTGGCTTCTTACTTACTGACGTACTGCAGAAGATGGCTTTTGAATATAGTTTATATTGTCATATTTTTGCAAAACTATACGGGTAAATTGAATTCTAAGCATGGATATCGATGAATTTGATCACGTTCATCAATTCCAAAAATATTATGCATTGTATTTCTGTTTAATAAAAACGCACCGCTCATTTTTCAAAACTGGCTCCAATTTGGAGGTAAAAAATTCGATGAATTAGATCATGTTCACTAAATCAGAACAGATTATGCATTGCATTTCCGTTTTATAAAAACTTGGAGCCAGTTTACAAATCAGCTCGCTCCATCTTACACAAGCTATGTAGGGGCAATCTAGCAACTGGGAATCACGGGATACTGTCTCACGATCATTTTTATGTGCATTATGCATCTTATTCTCGTATAATTGGCCTGAAAATGAGAAAAAACTGAAAAATACGTTAAAGTGTAACTTATTTCAAGATTCTTTGCAAAAAGTCATTTCAAGCCAAAACTTTGAGAGAAAATTCATTTCTAAGTAAAAATATCGATGAATTAGATCACGTTCACTAAATCAGAACAGATTATGCATCGCATTTCCGTTTAATAAAAACGCACCGCTCATTTCTCAAAACTGGCTCCAATTTGGAGCCAGTCTTCAAATCAGCTCGCACCATTAAACACAAGCTATTAACGGACAATCTAGCCACTCGGAATCACGAGATACTGTCTCCCGATCATTTTGATGTGGATTATGCATCTTATTCTCGTATAATCTGCATGAAAATAAGGAAAAACTGAAAAATATGTAAAATTATAACGTAATTCAAGATTTTTTGCAAAAAGTCATTTCAAGTCAAAACTATAAGAGAAAATTGAAGTCTAAGTAAAAATATCGATGAATTAGATCATGTTCACTAAATCAGAACAGATTATGCATTGCATTTCCGTTTTATAAAAACGCACCGCTCATTTTTCAAAACTGGCTCCAACTTGGAGCCAGTTTACAAATCAGCTCGCTCCATCTTACACAAGCTATGTAGGGGCAATCTAGCAACTGGGAATCACGGGATACTGTCTCACGATCATTTCTATGTGCATTATGCATCTTATTCTCGTATAATTGGCCTGAAAATGAGAAAAAAACTGAAAAATACGTTAAATTGTAACTTATTTTAAGATTTTTTGCAAAAAGTCATTTCAAGCCCAAACTATGAGAGAAAATTCATTTCTAAGTAAAAATATCGATGAATTAGATCACGTTCACTAAATCAGAACAGATTATGCATTGCATTTCCGTTTAATAAAAACGCACCGCTGATATTTCAAAACTGGCTCCAATTGGAGCCAGTTTACAAATCAGCTCGCTCCATCTTACACAAGCTATGTAGGGGCAATCTAGCAACTGGGAATCACGGGATACTGTCTAACGATCATTTCTATGGGCATTATGCATCTTATTCTCGTATAATTGGCCTGAAAATGAGAAAAAAACTGAAAAAGACGTAAAATTGTAACTTATTTCAAGGTTTTTTGCAAAAAGTCATTTCAAGCCAAAACTATGAGAGAAAATTCATTTCTCAGTAAAAATATCGATGAATTAGATCACGTTCACTAAATCAGAACAGATTATGCATTGCATTTCCGTTAAATAAAAACGCACCGCTCATTTTTCAAAACTGGCTCCAACTTGGAAATGAATTTTCTCTCATAGTTTTGGCTTGAAATGACCTTTGCAAAAAATCTTGAAATATGTTAAAATTTTACGTATTTTTCAGTTTTTTCTCATTTTCATGCAAATTATACAAGAATAAGATGCATAATGCACATAAAAATGATCTTGAGACAGTATGACGTGATTCCTAGTTGCTAGATTGTCCCTACATAGCTTGTGTAAGGTGGAGCGAGCTGATTTGTAAACTGGCTCCAAGTTGGAGCCAGTTTTGAAAAATGAGCGGTGCGTTTTTATTAAACGGAAATGCAATGCATAATCTATTCTGATTTAGTGAACATGATCTAATTCATCGATATTTTTACTTACAAATAAATTTTCTCTCATAGTTTTGGCTTGAAATGACTTTTTTCAAAAAATCTTGAAATAAGTTACAATTTTATGTATTTTTCACTTTTTTCTCATTTTCATGCAATTTATACGAGAATGAGATGCATAATGCACATAGAAATGATCGTGAGACAGTATCCCGTGATTCCCAGTTGCTAGATTGTCCCTACATAGCTTGTGTAAGATGGAGCGAGATGATTTGTAAACTGGCTCCAAGTTGGAGCCAGTTTTGAAAAATGAGCGGTGCGTTTTTATTAAACGGAAATGCAATGCATATTCTGTTCTGATTTAGTGAACGTGATCTAATTCATCGAAATTTTTACTTAGAAATGAATTTTCTCTCATAGTTTTGGCTTCAAATGACTTTTTCCAAAAAAATCTTGAAATAAGTTACAATTTAACGTATTTTTCAGTTTTTTTCTCATTTTCATGCAATTTATACGAGAATAAGATGCTTAATGCACATAGAAATGATCGTGAGACAGTATCCCGTGATTCCCAGTTGCTAGATTGTCCCTACATAGCTTGTGTAAGATGGAGCGAGCTGATTTGTAAACTGGCTCCAAGTTGGAGCCAGTTTTGAAAAATGAGCGGTGCGTTTTGATTAAACGGAAATGCAATGCATAATCTGTTCTGATTTACAATTTAGGGAACGTGATCTAATTCATCGATATTTTTTACTTACAAATGAATTTTCTCTCATAGTTTTGGCTTGAAATGACTTTTTGCAAAAAAATCTTAAAATAAGTTACAATTTTATGTATTTTTCAGTTTTTTCTCATTTTCATGCAAATTATACGAGAATAAGATGCATAATTCACATAGAAATGATCGTGAGACAGTATCCTGTGGTTCCCAGTTGCTAGATTGTCCCTACATAGCTTGTGTAAGATGGAGCGAGCCTATTTGTAAACTGGCTCCAAGTTGGAGCCAGTTTTGTAAACTGAGCGGTGCGTTTTTATTAAACGGAAATGCAATGCATAATCTGTTCTGATTTGGTGAACATGATCTAATTCATCGATATTTTTACTTAGAATTGATTTTTCCCTCATTGTTTTGGCTTGAAATGACTTTTTGCAAAAAATCTTTAAATATATTACAATTTTATGTATTTTTCAGTTTTTTCTCATTTTCATGCAAATTATACTAGAATAACATGCATAATGCACATAAAAATAATCGTGAGATAGTATTTCGTGATTCCCAGTTACCAGATTGTACCTACATAGCATTTGTCATTTGGGGCGAGCTGATTTGCAAACTGGCTCATAGTTGGAGCCAGTTTTGAAAAGTGAGCGGTGCGTTTTTATTAAACGGAAATGCAATGCATAATCTATTCTGATTTAATGAATGTGATCTTATTCATCGATATCTGTGCTTAGAATTCAATTTACTGTCATAGTTTTGGCTCGAAATGACTTTTTCCAAAAAATCTTGAAATATGTAATAATTTTACGTATTTTTCAGTTTTTTCTCCTTTTCATGCAAAATATACGAGAATAAGATGCATAATGCACATAACAATTATCATGAAACAGTATCCCGTGATTCCCAGTTGCTAGATTGCCCCTACATAGCTTGTGTAAGATGGAGCGAGCTGATTTGCAAACTGGCTCCAAGTTGGAGCCAGTTTTGTAAAATGAGCGATGCGTTTTTGTCAAACAGAAATACAATGCATAATCTACTCTTATTTAACGAACATGATTTAATTCATCGACATTTTTACTTAGAATTAAATTTCCCCCATAGTTTTGGTTTGAAATTACTGTTTGCAAAAAATCTTGCAATACTGTATATTACAATTTTACTTATTTTCATTTTTTCTCATTTCCATGCTAATTATACGAGAATAAGATGCATAATGCACAACAAAATGATTGAGAGAGAGAATCTGGCTTTTAAAACTGGCTTCTTGGTAACTGCAGAAGCCGGCTTCTGTAAGTCATTCAAAGCCGGTTTTTAAAAGCAGGCTTTTTGGTGACGCCAGAAACCGGCTTCTGATGTACTGTAGAAGCCGGCTTTAAAAGCCGGCTTTGAAAGCCGGCTTTGTATATTTGCCTTCGACTCTTTCTCAGATTTTTACAGGCCGCAGGGTCGCTGTAGAAATTATAACTCGGAGCTATAATATTTGTTCATTTCTGAGGTCCCCGTAGAAATCAACTGGCTTATTTGTCAATGTTTCACGATCACTTTTCATATGATATTACATCCTAGCACTATGAATAACATTTATAAATTGTCCTGATGTAAATAAAATGAAAAAAGTATTATTTATCAACAGAAATTTAAAATTCAC